AAAATTACTTATTTGTGTGTATGTAGTAAAAATTGCAGGTACCATATTTTGACCTCCAGGGGGCGCTGTAATTGCCAGTCACACCTGTATTGGCTGATAGACATACTAGACAAACTTATAATTCTCTGTAATGCTTCTGTGCATTTCTTGTCTTCATAATATTCAGTGGATTTTATCTTCATAATGCTTTTATTTTCTTTGACATGACTAATTACTACCAATCCACCTCCGAACTTTGACTGTGTAAATCGTCTTAGTCGCTAAGATCACCCAAGGTACAGTAACTAAGCTCTTGAATAAAAAGAAAAAAATAGTGTCCATTATAGATTTGTCATGCTATCTCTGTCCAACCCATGCTTGCTACATTTGAACTTGAACATCACTATAATATTGCTTTGCATAATTTGGTCTTCAGATAATTCCTTTTATTCATTTTATTCATGATCAGTTTTGATCTTGGTTCAAATACCAACAATATAAATCTGTTTTAAAATGACACTGTACAATATGGCAGATATTGTAGCATGTGTACCTAGCATTTTTTACAAAGCTGTGCTCATTGGAAGCCTGCTTTGTATTTGTTTTCCGTGAATATTGATTGCAGAAGTGTGTGGCTTTGTATAATAGGAGTACTACAAAGTATACAGAAAGGTTGTACAGTGATTGTATTGACTAATGCATGGTGATGGTCAAAAATCCTGTACAGCTTAATATGCGGACTCGTCATAGCTGTATTATTATACATTTTGCTTATAGCAATCATTTAGTGAGAGATAAAGCATAAAATATCAAAGAAATATACTTATGTCAGTGTGACCATCTGTGTGCAGTGAGAGGATTCTATTTCTGTCATACGTGTATGCCATATGTTTGCACTATTTGATATCAACAACTGTCTGAAAAATGTTTAATGTTTGTTACATACCCCATAAATGGGAAATTTTGACTGTTGTAAATATGGCTATTGACGAAACGCTAAATTATATACATTCAATATATTTCATACAAATCAGTTTTGAAATAATGGGTAACTGCAAAGATTGTATAAATCGTATATAATGAGTAATATTTGTTGTCCACATATCAGTAATCAAATGGCCTGTTATCAATAGTATCTTGATAGATGGGAATATAATGCAACAAATTAGTTTTTCACCTTCTTTGCTTCACTCGCAACATGCACTGCATGCGCCATAATGCTTGTACTGTGTTCTTAGGAAAAACAGAAATCTGTCATATTTTGAGTCGAGTCAAGTGTTGTATCGTATCCTGACATCCAGAATACAATGATGAACGCATTCCTCATTCTGTAAAACTTGTTTAGCTAGCGTGTCATTTAGCTAATCTTTTATTTTGCTAATTTAAGGTAGAGATGCAGGTTCGTGGGCACTTGGGAGTGAATTTTTTTTTTTTGCTTTTTATTATCCAAAAAGTCTTGGCTATGGACTGTTGAAATTGTGTAGAATTGTGAATAGTGGAACATACTAAAAAACGATTTTAAAATATAGATAACTGGTGCAAAATTATCTCTTTTGAATGCTTAGCAAGATTTACCAAGGCTGTACATAAAACATGGTGGGAAAAAAGAAATGACGGGATCTCCATATTATGCACTGTATTTAACTTTTTACAAAACGATAATACATTTAAATTTGAAACTGTAACAGCCATTTTAATTATGAGCATAAGCAAACTTCTTACTGAGTGAATTGTTATGCAAATTGGCAATTATCTCAGCTTCTTTTTAGTGCACATTCCAAAACTTAAAAAAAAATAGCTCGTAGACGCTTTGATCTTTTGTTTTGAAATTTTCACAAATGATTGACAATGTGTTTATCTTCAAAACGCCGTTGAGGCATTGTATTTAGTTGAATAGTGTTACAGCAATCGTACAGACAACTAGCCTGGGTGTTAATTTATGCATAAACTTGAAGTAGTGAAATTTGAGCTGCTGCCCTACAAAATTGACAACTGGTAGACAGTTT